CAGGGCTGCATAGTTGCGAACTGGTCAATGTGCCAGCATCAGAGCTGGACTACAAAGCAATTTAAGAAGGTTTGATTAATCATTTTTCTTTTACATCACCTTGATGGGTGGGTGGGTGTTATTTGGTTACCTGGGGTACGCCTGGCACCATGATGCAATATGGGAAGACAGCAAGCTGGCGGAGGCAGTGTGATGCTTTGGGCAATGTTCCGCTGGAAAAGCCTGTATCCTTGCTTTTGGTTGATTGTTATTTTTAGGTTTTAGCTTCTGTGAAGCACTTTGTGATTTTTATCTTGAAAGGTGCTATATAAATAAAATTTTACTTACTTACTTACTTACTCGCTGAACTTCCATCTCTTAAACACAATCTTGCCATTACACTCACTTTGTAAATGCTCAGTACTTTTTTTAAATACCAAAACCCAGTTTAAGATGCCAAAGCCATTGCTGAAATCTGCAGGCCACTTTGCAACCCACCTCCACACCAGCTCATCCTTTTGAGCTGTGTTTGTCTTTTTAACGTATCTGGCTGCTTTGTTGTTTGCTGGGGGTTTTGTTCCTTTCCTCCACACCTCTTACTTTTCCCCCCATGTTAATGCATAATAAGAGATAGACATGGAGCCTTGATTGTGTGTTTATGAAACCATTTTCATAGTATTTTATTTAAATTTTGCTAGTCTTTAACATACTTTTTTTTAAAATTTGGGCACAATGGTTATCGTATTTTACATTTAACAGCTGTAAAAGCACCACCAAACCCTTCAGGCCCTCATATGGCTCAGGAATGGCTGCAGATGGTTGGACAGCTTCTCAACTGCCTTTGCTTTGAAAGCTCTGGCTTCAGGCAATATTGGGGTAGAGCCAGCAGCTCAAACTGATACTGGGGCGGACCACCATGGTCCTCCGCCATGCTTATTTCCAGGGAACTGAAGGCAGGGGGAGGGGTCCTGCAATTCAGAAAAAAGCACACTGTAGCATGTAAGGGCCTTGCATCTCTCCATTTCTCTCCACTTTTGTCTGGCCTGGGAAACTTCTGAAAAACACATCTATACAAGGCCTTGCTCTCAGCCTTCCATTTAATAATGAATAGGATCTTAAGTCTGAACATCCAACTTCCAACTCCTCAGACAATAAAATGTCTGCACTGAGAAATCAGCTTTAAAATCTCTTGAACAGGCCTCTCGGGACTATCTCAAGAGGAGCCATGGATGGGTTGTTGAAAAAGATAAATAGCATCATCCTGTCTTATAAATGTTCTATTTAAAAACAGAAAATATGTCAAAAAAACAAAACCACAAAGATATATTAAAAAAAGGAAATGATGCAAAAACTTCCCCTGACCTCAGGTGACACTGACAATCTGCTCTGCAGAGTGCTAAAGCACCAAAATATTGATAACGTTTAAAGATTCATGTGGGGCAAAAAAAAGGTCTGGAGTGGTTTTAGCATGAATGCCAAATTAAAGCAGTCTTTTTTTCTGTATCTTTTTTTTGTTTGTTTTTTTGCTGTTATGATAGATGAAAAGAAACTCACTCATTCATGCAGAAACATTTTCACAGAATCATCAAAACTCTTTGAAACCAGCAGGGTTTTTTTGTTTGCCCCTGCCGCGTGATCCGGTCGATGTTCAGCACCTTGGCACTTGCTCTTGGCACCAGTGACGTCACATGAACGACATGCTATTACACGCCAGAGCACTGAGATGTCACCAGGAGTCAAGGTGATGAACAGCAGATAAAATGTGTCACAGGGAATGCTTGCGTTCTCTCTGGCTGAGTTTCACGAGGGCGTCAAGACGTATATGTCGCTCGTTCACTTTGAACACGTGTTCGTGTGCTCGACGAGCCTGGGATGAAGGTGAAAGAATATCTTATGGCAGGGTGACAGGCGCAAGCTGCTGGGCTGCAGAAGGAAAAAAAGAGGTGTATATGGTTTTGATACTTTTCTTTAGCTGCGTCAGTGTATCCAGCAACACCTTGTACGAACAGCAAAAACAAAGCATCAGCAACACAACAACAGCAGCTGCAGTCCTCCATCAGTGTCTGCCCTGGAATCTGTTCAGATTCTCTCACAGCCCAAAAGTAGACGATCCTGGACTCTATGAAAAAACACAGATTTTAGTCCAAACTGTCTGCAACTGCTTTGTGAACAGAAGTGGATTCTCCTGTCTGTGCAAGTCAGCTGATCTCAGCATTTGATCTCTAGGCCTTATCATGAGTGGACTTCAAACGAAGCTTCGTGTTGACTCAAACGTGTGTTGGACGGGGGGCTTGAGGCCGAGCAGAGAGCGGTTAACCAATGAACGTTCAAGGCCATACGTGTGTTTGTGTGTGAGCGGCGTTAGCAGATAAGATCATGGCTCAACAAACAGCACAGCATTCAATAAAGTTTCAGCTTCGACTATTTTCACTCCTTTTGATCATTTTCTGACAGCAGGATCCTCTCGGGGCGGCGTTATTGAGCAGCTGACAATCAATTTTAAAAACAAACTTCTTCTTCTTTTTTTAAGAAGCATTGGTTTGCAGATCACACACACAGCAAACAGACTAATTAGCTTTTGCCGTGCAGTGGAAATCGGTAACAATAGCTAGATTAATTTGCACAGTGTTAAATAAAGTGTCGTAACACAGAGCTCAGAAATGGAAATAATTGCGTTGCTCTGAGTGATGCTGTGTCTCAGAACCACCCTCTTGATTCAAGCTGTAGAGGGAATGACTCCAGCTCGTCACTCTTGTGCCTGGCACCATTCGCTGTTGACAAAGATGCAGAGAAAGTTATATTCCCGTTAGGATCTCACTGTCTGCCACCAAAATGTCAACTGTTTCTACTCTTCTATTTATATGCTGTACACAAAAATATAACAGTATTCACTCACTCAAAAGAAGGAGAAGAAAAAAGAAGAAGAGGAAAAAAGCTACCAATAGCTCTAAAAGTGTTGCTTACGACAGAATGTGGAAATATTCTTATAAAGAAAAGGAATCCTTGGAATAAAGTCTGGATTTAGGGAGAAAATAAATAATATTCTGAGATATTCTGAGATTATAATGTCACAAGTTTAAGAGAGAGAAAACCCCGCACAATCATGCTTTTCTGTTTCTTCAGTAAGGCCACATCTAGGAGCTTGTTAGCTAACCTTAGCAGAAAACAGAACAAACAAAAACAAAAGTGGAAAAATATCCCCTAAAACCCCAGAAAAGCATTTTCCGCAGGGGTCATCCATATCTGTAAAACTGTTGACAAGATAGATCAAACAAAATGTGAATTTTTAACCAAAGAAGGTTTACCTAAGCTATGGATGTGCACTCATTTGCTAGCTTAGCTTATAGCTAAGATATGGACATATCCTCACTCGATTCCTTATGACCTTCTTAGTACTGGATTGGTTTGATTGGACTCATCAAACCAGGGAACGTTTTTTCCAATCTTCTGTAGTCCAGCTCTAATGAGTCATGTCAACTGCAGACTGAGTTTGTTCTTGTTGGTTGTAACAAGTGTTTATTTGACTTGCCTTTACCTTCCTATCAGCTCAATGTCGCCTGGGCATTTTTTTCCTACAACCTGTGATAACAGTGACGTATGTTCACCAAGAAAACTACCACTCGCTAGATATTTTCTCTTTCTCACACCATTCTCTGTAAACCTGAGAGATATTTGTGTAAAGAAAATCCCAGTACATTGTTAGTTTCTGAAGAGCTTCAAAGTCACTTAAATTGCCTTCCTTCCCCATTCTGATGCTCACTTTGAACTTCAGCAGGTCACTTTGACCATGTCTACACATCTAAATGTGTTGAATTGCTGTCATGTGAGTGGCTGATCATATATTTGCATAAAGAGGCAGCTGAATGGGTGTTGCTAAAAAAGTGTATAAGTAACAACTGGCCACGGTGCTAGACTGGCTTCCATTCAGTTTGAAGACAAGTACAAGTTTCTGTTATTGTTCCAAGTGCTGACTATAACTTTATGTTATTAGCTTAATATTTACATGTGGAACCAGTATCAATCTTTTTTTTTTTATGTATCTTGTGGCTATTCATACTAGAAGGATACAGGGATACTTGAACCACTCCAACCTTACAAATGATATAAAAATGAACTGTAAATATTGCTGAGTTGTTGCTATCCTTGGTGAAGCAGAATACAGCACTCTTTGAAGTACATGCACTTGAACCAGTAGCCTGTCTGAAAGTATACTGATACACTGATGGGTTATCTCTGCCTCAGGAACCCCTCAAAAATCCCCCTTCCACTTACTTTCTTACATTGTGACCTCCTTGAGGAGCCCCAGTCCCTCAATTTGGACATAAATAGAACTATTAATCTTTGATAGGACAGCAGTAATAATAGCTGCACTTTTGTGTTGCTATGTTGAGACAAGTGGCGGGACATTTTCTCACGGAGCTCTCCACTGAGAGAGGTCACAGAAGATACCCGCCATCTGCACTCTCTCGAAAACGCTCCCTTTATATAAAGACATAAGATTGGCTCTTGGATTGGCTTCAGTGCTCAAATCCGAGTGCCATCGCTGTTGGCTGACAAGAGGGGTGCACCGGTGCCTGTGATGGGCGCCTGAAAGGGACAGTGAAGCTCTTGAGATCACTTCATTTGAACCTGATGAATTTGGAGGGACAGCGTGATTACCTCCTTTTTTCCTGAGCAGCTTGGGGTTGATTTTTCCTTTTCCTTGAGTACATCACATCACAAAAGGAAACACAGCTGGAGAACAAAAGCTCCCTGCAAAATGGTATGTGCAATTTTCCATATTCCAAATGTTTATTAATTTTCCTTTTTTTAAATATACCTCTTAGACACACTGATACAGAAGCCAGCGTGCAGCTGGGGAGTTGTGCAGGGTTTTTCAAAAGGACAGCAGAAGCAGAGCCAGCTCATGTGCATGGAAATCAGCAAATTGTAGGACACCGACGCACAGTGACACGCTGCTGCTGATCTATCACTCGACCCGTCTCTCTCTCTCTCTGTCAGAAACACTCTCTCTCTCCATTCGGTGCTGCGCGCGTCCTGCCGCTCTGTCTGACTCCTCGCCAAGACTTTCCTGTTGGACACACACTCGCGAGCGCACGCCACCTTATTTTATTTTTCATTCTCTTGTGTTTTTTTGTTTTTGTTTTAGTCTTTCCTTTTACAAACGTGGACTATTTCTCGGAGGTAACAATGGCCTGAGAGATGTAGCGCGATCAGCAGCTCTGATTAGGGCGACTGAATGCCGGCGCCGTGCGTAAGTTAGGAGCAGGTGGATGGAGAGGCTGGCGGGATGCAGCTTTCCAGTAGGTCAGAGCCGCTTCGGGGGCGGCAGGACTTCGCATTCTCGGGTTCTCGGGACACTTTTGCTACTCTGGACGTGATATGAGGATGGTATTTTTCTGTGGAAAAGTAAGTGATGAAATTGGTGGGGGCAATGAGACTGATCCGATTTTTATTATGATCTTTAAAAAAAATCATGTTCATTCATGTGCGCACTTTGCTTTGCTTGTGCGCACTTTAGTGGGAGTCTGATGTAAGTTATATTTTGGCGAGGTTCAGGCTATGATGAAGTTGCGCATACACATAATGGAGGAATTTCACTTACTTCTACTTGCTTAGTCTTTGGCAAGAGAAAATGTTCAAATAAAATGAAAAAAATTGCCGCGCGTCTCTTTCTGATATAGTTTCTGATTTTCTTTAATGATTAGGGCAATCATGCAAAAATCATTGGAACAGGTGCAATCCAGAGACAGCAGCTGCTTGGCAAATAAATATCTCTATCTGTCGGTTAATAAGTCAAAGGTTCGGTGCCGTGTTTCATCCCCCTGTCACTGAGATGAAAGACAAACCAAACCTGCTCATTATTCAGCCGCTGTTTTCCGCGCCGATGTGATGGAAAGTTTCCTGTTGGGCGCGCAGTTTGCAGGTAAGCTGTGAGGCTGAGCCGTGCCACTGCCGATTCCTCGGCATCACTGTTCGCACAGCCAGAGCTGAGCCAGGACGCAGCTCCTGACACCCATCCAGCATTTTTTGTGGGAAGCAAAGCTTATTGGATGTTTTTTCTTTTGCAATTATTTTAATAAACCAAATCCCCCTGCTTAAGTTAAAAATGTGATTATCCTGCTTTATAATTAAATTACAAAAAAAGCTACTAATTGCGCATCCCTCCTCCTGCTAGCAAATAACACTATAAAATCTCTCTCTCTCTGACACTCCATCCTCACAGACAACTGTGGCGAGCAGAGCTTCATCTATTAACAAATGCTAATATTAATTTTAGAGAATTGCTGTTTTATTTATTTTTTCTCAACTGAATATCTCAGTTTTGCGTGTTTAATTTCAAACGTGATTTTTGTAAAACACATTTTTTTTTATTGTTCAGTAGTTTTGGGGGGTCTTCGGGGGGGGGGGGGGGGGATTGGGGGGGGGGGGGTAGCAGTTTGAGTCGCCGTTCCGGCGCTTGCAGTTACCACCAGTAACCACAAGTGTCGCTAAAACAAGGACCACTAAGCAGGAATAGATTCCAAATTTTGATTCCTAGCACAGTCCATGTTCATGAAACAACAGTCTAGACACCAATAATTAGTCTAACAAAGGATTCCACTGAAGGTCTACACTGAAACTAATCTGAAATTAGTAAGTTTTACATGTTAAACTGTCCATGAGAGGAAGGCGAGGCAAGGTTTTAAGGGCTTAAACAGTTAATTGCAAGAAAATCAGTTTGTGGAATGATGTCTAGTGTGATCCAGAGATGTAAGCATTTCACTTGCCATCTCCTGAATACTTGTGATCTTTTATGACCTTGTTTACTCAAAGTGGATTATCTAAACAGCTTTACACAGGCCCATCTCGTGTAAATAATGAAAGCAAGAAGTGGACTATTGTCCTTGCTGAGCCAGACCTGTCACTGGATGGGGAAGAGTGAGTGATCTCGCTCCAGTGTCAGAGCTGTTTGTCCTCGAGATCAATTGAATAAACATTTGTCTTCAGCTCCCCGATGCCCTTGGCGTTCTCTTGCTCAGGCGTCCTTTTTTTTTCTTTCTTGCATGTATGCATAGGCGGGGGAGGCGTAAACACATATTAGCACACTCCCCCGACCTGTAGCATCACAGGATTTATGGTCTGAGTGAGAAAGGAAGAAAAAAAGGCATCAAATTCAAACACACAGTCACCTTGATCTCTTCCTGTCGGCTGTGCTACCTTTGCCTGACATATGAGCAAAAATGTGCAAATGCAAATGTTGGCTTTTCAATAAGTAAACAGCTTGATGTTTGAGGTAATTCCCAGTCCCATAGTTGGTTTACTTACTGTTTTTCTTTTTGTGTCAAATTAAGGAGAAAGTGGCAAAAATGTTATATTTATGAAACTGCACATCATGTACAATTTAGTGCTGGCTATCTCCTCTCCGCTGCTGCGTGCCAAAAATGTTGCTGTGAGCGAAATAAGCAGCATTAAGGATAATCACACACAACATATAGAGGTACTATTTAGAGGATTCTCTAGAGAGAATATTGTACATGATGCTCTGGTGAGGTGTGAAAGCAGTTATGTAAAGTAACCTTGCAACTGTTGCCATGGATCTTGGAGGACTGTTATTATTTTTTGTCAAACGAAATGGTCCCTGTTCTTCAACCCAACTTATTGCTTTCTATTCTGCTGTCTCTCTCCCCACCCACCCTTCTCTTTTACTGTCTCTCTGCAGCTGAGATGTGATAATTGATGCTCCTCCTATGTGAAAATTTCTGAGTCATCCTTATCCCTAGAGCCCCACACCCTTGGAAGTCAAAGTCTTATATTCCCAGGACCCCAGGCTCTTACCTTTATCCTTGAATCCATCACTCAAAGCCTCTTTTAAATGTATTTCTGTAACTTTTATTAGTAAAAGCAGTTCTTTGAAACATGTCATTTGAACCCTTGACTCATTAATATTTCCCATCATCACTGTACCCTGGATTAGAGAAACCCATAACCCTTTAGGAAATTAGACCACTTTGCTCTCAGCAGTCATGGCCTTGGATCAGTTGCCCTTCCTCCCAACTTCCCCTAACAATTCCATCCCTGAGCCCTTCTGGTACGACATCCAAGGGAATGACTCCGACCTGGGCTTCAACATTTCCCAAGACAAGGAGCATCACCAGGACAAGACCAGCTCAGTGGTCATTACCTTCATCTACTTCATGGTATGCGCTGTGGGATTGTGTGGTAACACCCTGGTCATCTATGTTATTCTACGTTACGCCAAAATGAAGACGGTGACCAACATTTACATCCTCAACCTGGCAGTGGCAGATGTTCTGTGCATGATGAGCCTGCCATTCATCGCCCTGCAGCTGGCGCTGGTGCACTGGCCCTTCGGAGAGGCTCTGTGCCGAATGATCTTGAGCGTAGGTGGGTGAAAAGCATATGGTTAATGGTTCACAGCGGAAACTCGGCAAACATTTTGATGCTGTTTGAACAACCATTTGAGATGTCAAATCTCGGTTGAAAAATGTGATTAAAAACTGTTTTAAATAACTGAAGTCGTGTCAACACGTAGTTGGTGCTCAGTCACATCAGACCTGGTGTTAAAGTGTTCCATTTGCTAAAGAAAGGTAATGAAATAGATACAATGTGATGCGTTTACATGATTTCTTGTTTCTAGTCTGTACTATAAGCAAAAACTGGTTGTGTTCGTTTTTTTCATCGGTTCTCACAGCAGCATACATGTATTTTTTAATCAAGTGTTACTGAGTCTAAACTCAACTTCTACCTTTCTCCACTCCTCTGCTCTTTCTTATTCTTTACACCATCCCAGACTCTCTCAATCAGTTCACCAGCATCTTCTGTCTCATGGTAATGAGCATCGATCGATACCTGGCTGTGGTTCACCCTATTAAGTCTACAAAATGGCGGAAACCCCGTGTAGCAAAGCTAATTAACCTCACAGTATGGGGTGTGTCGTTGTTAGTCATCCTGCCAACTCTGATCTTCAGTGGACTGAACAAGGTTCCAGTGTGTGGCATTGTGTGGCCGGAGCCTCAGGATGTCTACTACACGGCCTTCATATTCTACACCTTCTTCATTGGGTTCTTCCTGCCGCTGGCAGTTATATGTATGTGCTACCTGCTCATTATAGTCAAGGTAAGAGTCCGCAACTGCACGCTCTAAATTACACAACAAAAATCCAACAAGATTTGGTTACATTGCAGATTCAACGTTTTGGTGGTCCACTTCAATTAGTTTGAAATGTTAGCTCAGAAATCAACAACACTGCCACTGTCTCATGAAAAAAAGCTAATAACAGTCTCCTTTTCTTTTTTAACTAAATAGATTTTTTTGCTTCAACTAATATGCAGTACATACATAAAGGAAAAGAACATTAATCCAGATCCTTTGATCCAATGCTTGCACTTATGACACTATGCATACTAAATACTTCTTTGTGATTGAAGTAATTTTCACATGATTTGCATTTGGGAAATCTGGTTCTTTTCCCAGCTACAGCATTTTGGGAATATTTACAGTCTTTTGAAGATACATATTACTAAATCACTTTATCATGCATAAACATCAAATAATGCCACAACACATAGAGTGTTAAAACCTGAAAATGTTCCCTGGTAGTTAGCTAGCTATTTAGCACTGAACTCGCTATTTTCAGTTACAGTGCAGCCTTTTGCTAGTGGCTGAAAATTGATTAGTAGTGTCTTCCTTTCTGTTTCGTTGCCAAGATGGCAGCCATTGTGCATACCGAGTGTGCACTTTTATTAGTACATTCCAGAGTCCTCAATCGTCAGAATCAATTAAGCTAGGCGGCTAACATGTAACATGTAAATATGTTAATAATGTCTGTTTAAACACTTTTCTGTCATTAGTTTAATGTTGGCTTGCAATAAAACGTGTCCGTAGACACAATTTTATCAACCCATAGGGTAATAGGACTTTGATTTTGGCTAGCTAGTCCTGAAAGGCTACCTAGCCCAGCTAGGAAAAAACCCGATAATACTAGGATGTTTCTATGGAAACACTGTACTTTTTTATTTGGGAACTTTTAAGCCACTGACAGCCATTCCTTTTGCCAGGTGAAGTCATCCGGATTGCGTGTGGGCTCCACAAAGCGTAAGCGTTCAGAGCGCAAGGTGACCCGGATGGTGTCCATCGTGGTGGCGGTGTTCGTCCTCTGCTGGCTGCCTTTCTACATTTTCAATGTTACCTCTGTCACCGGCTCAATCAAGCCCACCTCTGCTGTGAAGAGCACGTTCGACTTCGTGGTGGTGCTCGGCTACGCTAACAGCTGCGCCAACCCCATCTTGTACGCCTTCCTGTCAGACAACTTCAAGAAGAGTTTTCAGAATGTTCTGTGCTTGAAAAAGGTGGCAGGCCTGGATGAGGTAGAGCGCAGCGACAGCAGGGCAGACAGGAGCAAGATGATTAACGAAGCTTCGATTATTAATGCCAACCTGTACACTCACAATCCTACCCTGCTCAATGGCGAACTGCAGACCAGCATTTAAAGGAGTGCCAGTAACAGACTGACAGGCTGCCAGTGTACTGTGGTAACCCCAAGTTAAAACACAAATGAGAAAACGGATGATGTAAGAACTGCTCGTGGACACTGATGCATGAGCAAAGTCGAATTGAAAAATAAACAATTTCTTAATCTTTTTAAAGGTCAGGGGAAGTGCACTGACTCGAGCTCAAAATTCTTGTTAATTGGGTTAATGAAGCAACTTGAGCTTATTAACCCCAAGGCGGAGCAAGAATATGTATTTTACTCAAGTACTTTTCAGAGATAAGTGACATGAAACATTTATAAGAATGCTATTTGTGCTTGCCAGCTTCAAGCTTTTATGGAGTTGCCCGAAATGATCTTGAGGAGGCAGGATGTGAAAGTGGAGCGTGGTGGAAAGGACGAAGAAATATTTTGGATAGTACTCCAATGGCAGAGAGAAGTCTGAGGGGACCGAGTACCATCCTTGCTCTAGTTGACTGATTTTTTTCTCTTTTTTAAAATGTGTGTGTGTGTGTGTGTGTGTGTGTGTTAGCTAAAAAACTTTAGGCAACGATTTCTCCGGATGTGGAAGTACCATGGAGAGAAGTAGGCAAAACATTTGATTGAAAACAGCCAGCTCTGTAATTCCCCAGAGCCTCGAAGATAAGAATCTGAGTCTACAACCTGAAGGTTCATGCTCATATTTTATTCATATCAGGTGATTAGTCTGGTCTTACATGATCAGCGGGGCAACGAAACGGCAAAGCCGACAAACAAAGGATGTTATTTTCTCTCCATTCTAGCTGGTATCAAGATGGAAGAAGCTACAGATCTGCAAACCTCTGAATATTACATCCTGGATTATTGATTTAGTGAAAGAATGGGAAACTGTGTCTGTCTCTAACCTTGTTCCCTTACAACAGTTTGACTTTGTGCATAGGAAAAAGGCTTTCTCTCAACCTCTTGGGAAACTTCACAAATGTGGATGTGTTGAAATCAAAAACAATTTTAAAGGAAAAACCTGCTATTACATTGTGTATTTCTGAGTTTGTAAAGTCCCATCAAAAGTATTTTTACCGTATCCTGAACTTTACATTACTTTGTGCCGTTGTAAAGAGCCCCCATAAGTGTAAAGTGCTGTGTTTTGGCAATGTAAGAGTTCCCAATTTAATGTCGTAACACTCTGCTCAGACTCACATTTGGTTCAGCCAGCGTGTGCCTGCAAAGATGCCGAAATTTCACAGAAGGCGGACAAATGTGTCATGTAACCGAACAGGGAAGGAGAGAGAGATGGATGGATAAGGAGACGCAGAAACATAAAAAAAGAACTAAAGCTTGTGGATGCAGTGTATGCGCTGAGAACACAACACACGTGAGGACAATGCTTTGAAGACTGAAGTGTGCTGTGTTAGCATGACTGACAGGAAGAGATCAAGGTGACAACTTGAAAAATAATGCATTATTTCTTCAAAGACACAGTGTTTCCAGAGCCGGGATGTATTTCTTCATAAATAAATGTAAGGATAGCTCAAACATGCAGTTTATACAGTGTATTACATTTAAAAAGTCATTTGTCGTGGACTTGTTTGCTAAATGGTAATAAGAAACACGACCACGAGAGGCAGCATAGTCTAGTAACAATTGATGCATTTGCACTTCCGTAAAGTCCTTTTTTAAGGAATATTAAATGGAGTGCTTTTGTTGATTTCCTGTGTGATGGATGTCCATATTAAACATGTAGTTTGAAATAATGAGGCTTGTGTATGTACAGGTAACATCTAAGATCCAAACATTTGGTCTTCGTGATTCGTTTTTTCTAGAATCGGCTCTCTAGGATGTCAGTGAGACGGAATATTCCTAAAATTATCATCTCAGGCTTATAGCTCTTGCTGTGAGCACAAAGCTCTGCCTTTTCAGACCTTCTGCTTGCGAGGGGCAGCCAATCAGAAGAAAACTGGCACTAGAGCTTGTTTCAGACAGAGGGTGAAATGAGGTGCTGCATCAATGCTCAGTATGGTATAATTTTGAGCTTTTACTGCGCAAAGCTACTCTAGTAAACCCCAAGAATAATTCATGACATGGAGTTGGAAATTAGCATAATAGCCCCTCTTTTAAAATCAAGGACACTGCTGCTGGGAACATGTCACACATTTCCGGACACATTCAAGTTTTATGTCCAAATGAACAGTTCAGCAAAGTTTAGATATATGAAAATATCAGGTCAAAACAAATTTAAAACCACATGTAGTTGGTCTTCACAGTCGCTAGAGTTTGTTGTTGCGGTATATGGCAAACAGCATTATGATCAACATATTTTGAATAGTATTTCACTATCTCTCAATTGCATTTAATGCATTGAATTAAGAGCGGAAATAATAAGTAGACAGCTATAGCTCAAATTTGCGACCAAGTCTATTATTACCGGACATTTATATATATTTAGATCTATATTTTGAGACTCTGGGTTGCTTGCAGGGTGGTTCAAGCCTCGGCAGTGTTGGTCTGTCAGTTCACTATTTTGCTAAATTGATCAGACCTCTTTGATGAATTAAGATGTTTTGGCGATCCCTTAACATTCCATCAATTGCCATCGTCAGGTCTGTCATTTACACTATTTGATAATGTGGTTTAAAATCCAATTACCTGCAAAACTAATGGAAAGAAGTTATTGGTTCAGCAGGTTTAAACGCCTGTATACATATTTAGTTAGATACTCTGTGTTCCAGAACATACAGAGCTGAATAGAGAGCATGGTATAAGGGAAACATGACTTTTCTGTCCAGAATAAGGCCCAAAATAAAATAGTGAGTTTTGAAAAGTGCCAATTCCATTCATAGTCTTCATCAGGATTTTGACCATGACCTACATAATACTGAATCAGTCAAAAGTAGATGTCCAAAATTTAAACAGCAATGCCTCTGATTAGTTAAAGCTGGTGTTGTAATGGAAATGTTCAAACCCACTAACACTTAATGAGCATGAAACGTAAGAAACCCTAATCCCAAACACACACAACACAAATTATAAAATTCATTCAAAAAGACTACAGTAATGTCAAGGATTAAATTCAGGAAGTTTGGGAGATATTTGCTGAGGAATGTAGTAGTTCCTTCACCATTCAAAGTATTTATATAAACAGATTTTCATGTTACAGTTCACCTGGTAGCTGCTCAGCTTGGGTCAAGGCTTCAAACATTTAATATGAAGGTTTCTTGGAGAAATTCCCTTCTGGAACTAGAGCCCTTGGAAAAGTAGGCGCTCATTGATGCTGACATCCTGACAATTATATTATACAGATATTTAGCGAGTGTGTTAACCTTTTAACATTGTGTTTAGCATGTTAGCATGCTAGCTTTCCTTGAATTTGCAACTCAGTCAGAAACATTAGCAAGCTAACATGTTAGCAAGGAGTAAAAATGTTCAATAAATATCTGCATAATAAACTGCTATCAATGTAAAGATGTTAGCATGCTAAAGTCAGGGCTTAGATTAAGTAAAGCCATGGAGCCACAAGGGCTACAGGATATGTTTAGCCTCTTTGATTTGGAAGTCTTCTTATATATCAGATAGTGTTTATATCGTCCATCATTACTAATTTTAACTTACCTACAGCAACTGGCTAGCAAAAACATGACCAATATAGATATAATTTATTCTGTATGAGCAAAATGGGCTTCAGCAAAAAGATCTTCACAATAGCCTGAATTTAGAAACCCTTACCACGTCCACAGAACACATCCCGTTCTGTTCTAGCTATCATGATTTTACTCACATCCACTTCCACAAGACACCTTCACAACACCTGGTTCCCAGACTATTTGTCAAAGCCTCTACAGCAACAACAAGATTGCTGGGTACACGCTCCACTGTCAGATTGAGTTGGTTCCAGTATATCAGTCAGGCCGGAAGCTCGCAATCAATGCAATCAAAAGAGATGAGGTAGAAGAGGCTACTCCTAATAATATTAATGTGAGGCTCTGCACACACAGAGAGGCAAGTCCCAGTTTGTAGCAGGCAACACACCCAGTAATTTGTCGTGACATTCTGTCTGTGTTGTCACTGCTGCAGGTAGTATTTCCAGCAGGGTCAGTCGCACCTTCAGTAACAGGTCAGAACAGGATTACAAAGATACCCTATGAATCATGTTTATGGAAGTTTGTAGGCATGCTGTGATTTAATGTGCTTTAGCCCTGTTTCATACTCTGTCACACAGACATCCTTGTACTATAGTCTGAAAAATACATGAAATGACGATGGCGACCGGACTGTGTATGTAACAGCAATCAAAGAGTGAACAGTAAACAGGAACCGTAATGAAGTATATGCAGTATATTTTAGTATGTTTTCCTTTTTCTGCTTTACTAAATAACATGTGCACCGCGGTGAAAAGACTCATTTCAGATCCTCACCCACTGCAGTTAAGGTATTTAGCGTCTTCAAGCCTGCAGTGTGAGAACTGATGTCCCATCATCCAGAGTTAATTACTTGAACTCTCTGTGTTTTTCTGTCTGTTTCTTTCTCAGTCTTTCAGTCACATTCACGGCTGGTGGAGTGAAATGTGAGCTGACGCACTTTTTACACCCACCTAAAGTGAACGACGAAATGTACTGAACCATACTGAAGAAAACACACAAAACACCGTTTCCACTGGCTACTCGGACACGCTAAATGTACATCGTGGTGTTTAATAGATGTTGGTGAAGATAGTTTGTGCCAAAGCCAGTGTAAATGTAGTGCTCAAAGGAGAGCCGGGGGAATGAGACGCTGTTTGTAGTAGCTGCTTTCTTTGTCATTTTGTGAAGTCAAGACCTGGAATTAGGTCATTTTATTCACAAAAAAATTTAAAAATGAATAAATAAATTAGCAGGTATCTTGGTTAGTTACTTGCTGGGTACAATTCAGCACCTAATGTGAAAAGGGCAATCGTCTGCCTTTCAAGGCCGGTGCCCATCACTGTATAGTGTACAGACGAGAGGCAGAAGCAGAGGCACGGGAGACCTCTGGCTTCTTGTATGCCGTTTCTTTCCTTGGAAACATTCATTAATTTGCGAAGGGCTAATAGTGCATTCCTGAGGATGCACCTTTCGTTATAAACATTCAGTATGTATCTTCTGTTTGTTCCTGCATGGGGATGGTGGCTTAATATTCCACTTTTTGCATCACAGTACCAACCAAAACCAGTGTTACACACTTTACTAGGTGATGCTTTTTTTGTTTTTGGTAATACACAGAAAGAAAATGCATAAACATGCACCCTAGTCTCATAATAGGCCATACTTTTCTGTCATTTTAGGTTAAAATCAGGAGATTCTGGGTGAATATCACACTATAATCCTGACTACACCAACTAGTAATAAACTGCTTGATACCGGCCATGTGCAGACGTGATTATGTACATTTCTGTGCTGTTACTTTTATTGATGTGCCTTGAACTCAATCATGTAAAGACATCAGTGTACAACAAAACTTCATTCTCACCCTTACTCCCCAGACACCAACCAACCAAAGGCCTTTGTACTCTAGATGTTGGTAACTAAAACATAACAGAGATGTAGAGTGTATTACTTTTACTGCTATCTCCCCAGCGTACAAAGCTTCTGTTTGTGTGCTTTAATGTCAAAAGCTGATGTTTATTTGTGACTCTGTTGTTGCATACTGTAGAATATAACGTGATCAATGATTGTAATGGACAGGTCAGTGTCCTTGTCTCTGCAATTAAAATGCGGGCCATGGTTAAACTGGTGTGTTTGTGAGTTACTGAATGCACGTTTGGCTGTGAGTATGTGTTAGTGTGGACTACTGCCTAGCTATTAACATTCCTGTTGTCTGGGGGGATGTCTGATTCCAACCGTATTGAGATTTCCATAATCATTTACTCAGCATTTACTGTAAGTGCTGTTATAAACTGTAAAATATGAGCTGTATTTCTAAAAAGATAAACATTTAAAGCACTAAACCATTGATTTGAGAATAAAAAATGCATTTGTGATATAACATTTAAGCATTGATTTTAGTGCATTTCAGAGATAGTGTTTTGATATGTATTTGTCTGACTAGGTATTACATTTATGATTCCTCTTTTATGTTTTTGAACTTTGTGTTTGTGCAAATAAGCACTACCAGGATCTCCGTAACATGTTAAGCTAATTAGCGTCCTCATATCTTCTCGCTGCTTCTTTCAGGAGCCACAGCTGATTACCTGCATCCATCTCACCCCATCCTTAGCGTCGTCTTCTGCGATAGTAGTCATGGCAAATAAGGCTTCCTAAATGTTAATGTCGCAATGTGAGCTTAAAATTGACAGATAACCATGACTTGCAAGGGCTGGGTCATGTGACAGATGACGGCACGATGCATTTTTTTATCTTTGAAGTTTCTTTCACAGCTCCCAGATCCGCGCTGTCACTCCCATCTCTAATCTGGCCAACATTCCAACATTTGTCGCAGTCGTTTACATCATCTGCTTCCAGTGACAGCAACTTTTAGGAGATCTGGGGTGGGTAAACCCTGCCGTCTGAATGGAAACGTGTACACAGACCGACACATTCGCAGGACCATAAATCCTGCTTCCGTCACACGAGCCTAGAGACCAGTTGGCGATTTCCGATCACTTAGGCAAAATAAAGGATTCACTGACCACTTGGCAGTATGTTCCTGGAAGTTCCTGGCTGTCACTGAGTAAAGTCACTCAACAAAAAACATTTTCGGTGCTAGCAGATTGCTGTCATCAATCTAGTTTGTATGGAAGACACCGACTTGTTGGCAAATACTAATTGCGCACCAAGTCAAACTCAAAAAATGGTGTCACAAATCGAAAACTGAGATATTGGGGGGGGGGGTTACCAAAAGTAAAAAATGCGCCTAATCACAAACAACAACGAGTTCACCAACGAACAATCTCAATCGTAGCACATTCTTCACATTTTCACTACAAAATGGCAAGTAGTTGGTAAATGTGTACACAGACAAGTCAGCGTTTTTCATACAATCTCTGAGGAAATGTAGTTTTTAGGTAGCACAACCTGTTGGCAACAATTTCATGCAGGTACAGGAGCACCCCCTCCCCCCAACAATATCTCTTCAACCCTTTAGGTATTGCACATTTTCGCTTAGGGTCACTGACTGCTCTCCAGGCCACCATGGCTGGTTCTTTACTGATTTCACAGCGACCACTCACACCATTTTTCTCTAGCGATGGAGCGATGGTAGCAACGTTGCCATGGTGTCGCTGACAGGTCTCTATCCCTGTTCGACTGAGGTCCATGTTAGCCTTAGAACTTTTATTAGGTTTAAATCTTCTAGCTAAAGCTAGGAAAAAATATCGTAGTAAAATTGCACAAGTCATTTAAAACAAAACATGACAAACAACAGCCATGAAAACAGATTTTTACATTCATATAATTTAGACAATTGTGTGGTCTAACTTTTCTACTTCTATTTCATAAAAAAATGTGTGTAGATTAAATAACAAGTCCTATTGTCAAACTACCTGTGAGGGACCTGCCTGAGCTATTCAACCTGAGCTCTGGCAAAATAAGAACTTCTGCAATCCACACATCAGGTGCAACGTTTTTAACATTTTAGCTGTCTTTACCTTACAATAGGAATTTCCTTGAGGTCACTTTTGTGACCTGCCACTATATAAATCAAACCGAATTCTACTGAACATTAGATACGTTGCTGAGTAAGTCAAAGAAAAGGTGGAGGTAAGAGGGAAAAATAAAAGAAATGTATGCTGAAACACTAACACAAAAATACTAGCTATGTAATTTACCGTTTAAGCTTATTTGCATTGTCAGGGCTTATTCAGTTTCAGTTAAAGTGTGTAAAACAGCTGATACTTAGCTGAACTGAATATATAGATTTTTTTATTGTATTAGTGTAAAATCTGCATCTCATTCTCTGTCTATAAGGCATAGGCTAATTGTTTTATGTGGCCTGACAGGCTCATTAGTCCTTCTTTTCAGCACGGAAAATATTTAAAAATGAAATGAATCTTTCTGGACAGCTTTTCCAGAGTTATTGACTCTTCTATTTTCTTTCGCCTTCATTTAGAATGTTATTTATTTGCCAAAAAAGAGGGAAAACACATAGTGGACATCCAGGAATATAATTACGGGAACTCTGGGGTTTGTGTGAGCAGAGTGGATGGAGTCCAGTTCCTGGCTTCACGCATTGTTTCAGTCTGCCCCTGGCTACACTGCTAAAAATAATGAAATGTAATGTAACTGTTTGTTAATCTTTTCTGAACTTGACATTTATTCCATTTTTTGAGTTGGAACTTCTTCACGTGTGCATATTCACATTAGCAGTTGGTCAGTACTAGTGCTGTTAGTGTGGCTTTTGTTTAAAGGGAAATTTGGGTGTTGCTCTCTATAAGACTTTAAAATCTTCTGATTCCAGTTATGAATCATAAAGTTGCCCTAATTGTAAAGAGGGAGCTAGCACTCAATTACAGTATCAGGGCTGATATGGTCTTTTTTGTGTGTTCGGGGGGAGGTTTTGTGACATGAGAGTAACATTCGAAAAGATTTCTTATTGTTCTAAAGGAGATCAAATGAGCAGGGCTACTCCTGATAGAAAAATCCTACTACTTCCTGTTAACATATAAACAAGTTGAATATATGTAGACTTCAGAATAGTTCTCCAGTCTTCTTGAAGGACATCTCCGCTGCTTTTTGTTCACTTCTTTGTCAAAATAATGCAGCACTGCTTCAGTAAAGTTCAGGTCACGGCTCTGGCGGGACAATCCATGACTGATAGTATTCCATTGTTTCTATCCAGGTATGCGTTTACTGTATTGACAGTGTGTTTGGGATAATTTTCATGTAGAATAAGGAAATAGTGTCCAATTTGATGCGTTCCACATGGTAATACAGGAAAACCAAAAGCCGAATATAATCATTCCATCACTTTTGACAAGATCTCCAAAACCACTGACTGAAATTCAACCCAAAACTGACCAAAAGAAAAAGACCTTAAAAGCCTAGAGAACTATTGTTCAAGGTCAAAATTGCAAAAAAAATCCCCCCAAAACCCCAAACAAACTACAAGAACATAATTGCAATTAGGAAACTTGAGTTACAGCTTCTCATTTATTATTTCGTATTAGGTTTATTGTGACAAGGTCAAAATGTGTGTTTTATTTAGTTTCATGTGGGGTTATGAGGACATTCCCTGGCAAGAAGAAACAGTCAAAGCTCAATCTATTACCTTCCACACACCAGTGAGCCTACGTGCAACACCATTCCCTCATATCACTTCTCATTTTCTCTCCAGCCTGAGTCGCCTCCGAATGAGTCACGACTCAGAACGGCGTGCCAGGCTGCGCTGCAGTTCCACTCCGAAAAACAAGTAATGTATTCTATAATGAATGTCGTGCTCGGGGGTGTTTTATTGTGGTGGCGGCAGGTGAGAGGATGGAAATGAGGATTAAATGCTCAGAGTAGAGGGAGATTTTTCATGTCCATATTTCGTCAGCTGAAGCTTTATGAGAATTAGGTTTGAATGCCAATCTAAAAAATGTCAGTGAGCGCTGACCATGCTCCCCTGGTTTTATTATTGTAGGTCAGCACTGTGCCAAAGCTTCAGAGGGGTATAATCGCGCCTCTCTGACCTTTTCGATAACCAGATGGAAAAATGGCCGATCAAACCATTCCTTGTACG